ACTCTACACCTAACCTGAATGTTACTCACCCTTTAACACGACAGATAGAATGCAGCTTTATCTCTAACTCTATAACTTCTCATGGTCAGTATCAGCTCTAATTAGATTACAACAAACAAGTGGAGTCACCTGTCAGTTATTTAGACTTTATTTTTATTTTTTTTATTTTTGGTTACAGCTTGATGCCACACCGTATTTTCAGTACAAGTATGGCATTTTCAGCATGGATATCGGTAGCCCAAATTTTGCAGGCCGACCATAGATATCGGGTGTGCGTCGGCAGGAAATCGAACCCCGGACCATGCGCGTGGTCGGCGAAAGTCCTAACCACTGTTCCACCGACGCAGGGATTTGAATTAATTTGAATTAATTAATCTCAGTGTGGATCTCATATCTTGACGATTTCTAAGAAAATATTCCGTCTTACCTTCTACATCAAGAAGTTTAGACATTCTGGAATAACCCAACCCTTACTCTTACGATTCGTTGACTCTTGCATCCTGCGTATTATTCTGTATTGTTCCCCCTCAGTTTTTCCAGGAGGGGCTAATGAAGAAGGACTATGTCTTATTACGTAGGGTGTTAAAGGTTGTCAGCAGGGTAAGCAACGTGCCACTTAACCAGCTTGTTAATATTCTGGTCGACAGGCACTTGGACTCATGTGAAAAATGGGCTAAATCCATTCTATCTAACTCACCCCTTGTATCTCATCAGGCGAAACCAGAAGCCTATATAGAAAACTATATGCTCGCACTAGCAAGTACAAAAACTCAACCATACCCTACTTAGCTCGTGTTCTGTGCGATAAAGAAAGCATTAGGCGTGACACCTATAACTAATTAAATAGTCAGTAGAACAACTGGACCTCGTCTTTCCAACTCATATCATTTATAGGTACAACATTTTCTTTCTTTTCCTATTCTCTCTCTCTTTTCTTACGTTATGTGCTGCTTTGTTTCTTTCTTCAGCTTACGCCAGTAAATATGATAGCACCTACTTTTCTAACACCTTCAAACATTCTGTTCACTTTTGGCTTTGCTACCTACCGATGTGCTAATATGTTGTTGTCAAAACTAACTGAGATTACCCATAATCTATGTAGAATTTTATTTATTGATAATGTACTAACTGGATGCAATACTGTAGTAAAAATGCTGAGAATTCCATTCTGTATCACAAGTACTGTTTTGGAATAAAGCAAATTATTATTATTGGTTGGAACGTGGCTGAATAGTCGACGATTTTGGTTTCATAACCTGAAAACCACAGAGTCGATCCCTGGTGAGGTGGTGGGTATGCACTTCTGAAGAACCCCCGAAAACGGGTGAAACAGTTGTCCAGTGGCCCCTGATTTTCAATGATCTTCAACTGGCCTTGTGACATGTGTTGCTGATAAGATTTGTCAGTAGTATAGAAAGACTTCCCTCAGCACAAAAACCTCAAATAGCGAAGAGATAGATTTCACGGTCATAGAGAGCAAATGAACCAGCAACTGTGGCGAAATGTTATCAAAATACAGAAATTCCATTAACAAAAAAATAAATAGAAAAAAATAAGCACCTACTCTAGCCACTTCATAACCGGACAATTGACTGACAAATTTATACAAATGAAAATCAGCTACAGCTGCAAAACAAGCGTGTAAAATTTGAGGCGATTTCACAATTAGCCAGTGTGAGTCAATACCGTACAATGCGAATAATTTGTACAGCAGGCTTATTAAAATTGGATGTAAAGGACTTCGTAGCGCAATATCCGATTGCCATTCCCAAGTTAACGATCCGTATCTAGTGACAAAAAGAAGGGGTGGGTGGGTGGAAAAGTAAAGAGTATGGCAAAAAAAAATAATAACAGTTAGCAGAGGCTTTAACTTCGATACTGTTTGAATTATGAAATGCAAATTGTATACCCTCGACACAGTACCACTGAAAAATATCATAGGATGAAAGTGCAGTCAGATGAAAGTTAATCGAAAGACAGATATCACAACAAATCGAATTCCAAAGATAAACTCATTACATGGAGGATTTCATCATGAGCTGACATCAGTCAGAGGACCACTGGAAAACCTGGGAGTGCTAGGCAGCTGTTTCCGTTGTCCCAGTTTGGGACTCTTCATCAGTACGCACCCGTGACCAGTAGGGTACAGCAGGTTGAAGATGAGGCAGTGACTCATCAAAGAAGACATTGCGAAATGGTCACGCTATGTCGTGAATTGGCAGAAGTTAGAATACATGGGCTGGTCATTGGATCGGGTCCCAGTGGCTTAATGGTGGTCTACGAGCTCACCAGCCTTGTAACCAGAAAGTCCTGGGTGGTTATAACCCTGGTGGTGGGTGCATACTGTGAAGAGTCCCAAACTAGGACAACGGAAATAGCTGTCCAGTACTCCCAGTTGGTTTTCCAGTGTTTCTCTAACCGATGTCAGCTCATGGTGATGAAATCCTCCATGCAATCAAACAAAATCTCTACAAAACCAATACTGGAAAAATAAACTTGTTACTCACAGGCAAAGGAAATTTATAGTGAACAAGGGATAGCTAACTGTAGGGGAGTGGGAAGACAAGAGCATTCGATAACGGAACTGTTTATTGGCAATTCAATGCATAGGAGATATTTTGCAGAATACGTCTACCATATGTCAGAATCACAATCTGCACATGTTTTCGGTATTGTGTTTCTTTGTCTTCCTTTCATGTTTCTCATGTTGTTTTTTCCTCGTTAAATCCATCTCTCTACTATTCTGTATTCTTGCAGATCATATACATGTTTTGATCTGCTTGTATACACTACTTATAAACCCTGTCAGTGGGACTAGCCACAGTACTTCTAACAGACACCTGACAAATGAATCTAATTAGATTTACTTTTATTTCAGGCAGCATTATCTATACCAAATTAGTTTGTTTATTAGATATACCACACAGTGAAACGATATTATTTATTTACAGGATAAAAAGGAAGGAAGGAAGGAAGATGAGAAGGAAATCCAAACACTCAAACAGATATTTGGATTTCCAATTATCCCATCCTCTATGTCAGTAAAAATAGGATTGGTGAAATGTTTAAGTAATAGAGCACAAAAACTAAGTAGTACCAAGGAAAATCTAAGTGAGGCATATAAAAGAAGCTTTGAAACTTAGTGATTACCCTGATAAATTAATCAGGAAGTATGTAGGGAAATGTAAAAATGAAATAAACAACAATAGTAGTGATAATAATAATAATATTATTATTATTATTAATGACGACATGCATGTCAAACATGCCCAAGATAATGACAACACCAACAATAAGGAATATAAATCATCAGTAGTAATTCCATACAAGGAAGGAACCTCGGAAACCACCTTACGCAGAATTCCTAACAATGCTGGCAGCAATAAAAGTGGCTGCAATTCAAACCAACCACAAACTCAATTAGAAAAATACTTTGCCGCCTGAAGGAGGCAGTCAGATTAGCCGAGCATAAAAATCTAGCCAAATCTAGATTAGTTGACCCGAATAAGATAAGAAATCTATAGAATAGTTCAGTTATAGCACTATATACAATTACACACGACCATACAATAGGATGGATGGGATAAGATGACAGTTTTAAAATCTAATGTGACAGGCTGAAAGGAGGGAGAAATTGATAACGTAAACTTTATTTATCGAATCAACTGGGAGAGAATACGTGTAATAGGAATGATTCAACACCTGTCCAGCCAGATATCTGGAAAGTTCTACTACCCCAACGACGACAAATAGGAGAGAGAGAACAAAGAAAACTATAAAACTCAAGTTTCCAAGTCGTGTGATTATAATTGATGATATGATTATGAACCACAATAAATTGTGTTCGAAACATTGTCATCCAGTTAATAATAATAATACTGTTTCACTCACTGTGTGATATATCTAATAAACAGACTAATATGGAATTACTTACTACCACAGTGCCCAATTTTTACACACATATATTAGCATTATCTATAGACAGAGAGTAGTCTTTGTTTAGGATTTCAGGTTTATCAAGTAGAGAAAAGCTGTGTGGAATTAGACACACTTTACGTAGAAAGATCTTTACCAAAATATTCGGTGCACTAAGGCATGTGTAAATACCTTGTTTTTCATTCCAACTGGAGCGTAGGCTTTCAGGCTTTCAAGCTTCATTAACCGTAGAGCTATCTTAACGGGGTGATGTTTCTAGCCTCATACCAAACACTCCATCATTTCCTGAGTTATTACCACTTAGTGAAATAGGCGTAGTATCAAAGTACATCAGGTGGGAATCGACCCCGGTCCAGTTATATGGTTGGCGAGCACTCCATCACTGAACCAACCAACCAACCACCAACGTATATGTAAGTACCTTAGGTAGAATAAATCTTTAATACAACAATGAATGACTTTACAGCTGTTTTTTAGAATTTATTTTATTCCTTTGAGTTCCCAGTGGAACATAAGGTTTCAAGCGAGAGCTTCGAAGCTTCAGTAGCAGTGGCGTATTTTTTACTAGGTGGGGTTGTTGGCCTCATGTCCAACCCTCCCTCTTTACCGAGCTAGCTTATTACCGACTAAGCGAGGTAAAGAAGTGCGTCGACTAGGGATCGAACTCCGGACCACTTAACTTGGTCAGTGCCAGTGTCGTACCACCACCACTGAACCACCGACGCACGATTGTAGGTCTTCTAAAGATCCCTGAAACGCTGTATGATAGAAGACAGACAGATATGCAATTAATAGTGTTCTCTGAGCTGGTTGGCTTAGTTGCGGAGCTTTCGTCGTCCCCCTTCCAGACAACATCCCCTTTCAGCGCAATATTTAGCATAAAGTGAAATGATTTAAATTTCTTCATGAGTGATGTAATTGCGTCTCCTGGTAACTATCTTCACATATGTATTGAAGACAGATATCTCAATTTTGCTAACATAACAAAATATACGAAATCTGTAACACTGGTTGCACAGAATATTGTTATTTTTAATTCGTCATAGTAGAGTAACTCCGCTTACCCAAACACCCAGTTATGCGCCACTTCAATCGACTGCCAATACTCATCTGCTACATAGGATGTTTGAATCAGTAAGGCATTGAAAATTCGGAAAATTAGTAGGCATGTGAAAAGCCTTCGTGAATCTTTGAACAGAAATTCCATAATTAGCGAATTAACCTAAAAATGGTGGATAGTGAGACAGATTACTCGAAAGAAACGACAAGAGAGACACAGAGAATAAAAAAATATACACGTCAAGAAAAAGGTAAATACTGACTACTAACTACTATTATGCATCAAATATTACTCTTGTAGATGCTGTAACCACAACTAGTTGCGTTACAGTTTAAAAATAGGATGGATAACAATCGATGTGATTTTTCACAGCGTGTTACATAACACCTGGTTGATGTTGTTGTTGTTGTTGTTTTTATCAAAAGAAGACGGGGGTAAGTTTGATCGACAGTAAACAGCATTACAATAACGGAAGTACAGTCAATGGGTCGAGTCGCAGTTATGTGGTCACGTAACCAAACGATGAAACTACGCCATACAGTCCCAGTTAAGCGCCTGTGAATTAAACCACAAGAGGTTGTGACAAAACGAAAACAAGGCACAACGCCTATTTAAACTGTCGCGGTAAAGTAATGTACTTTTTATGCTTATAGCTTACACTTTTAGATATGGTATTATTTTCTTTTTCAAGATAAAATTTGGAACCCTTTAGGGTTAATAAAAAATAAGAAAGATTTAAGTAACATCAACGGGCAATAGAAAAATACGCATTAATACCATATTTCCTATTACTTGCCTTATGCACTAATTGATGTCACTTTATTGCGAAGAAATTGGGATCTTTAGGCTGAAAAAATTTCATGAGTTGTATTACATACTACTGAATGATTGATAATAGTAGTTGGTTATCACTCGAATCAACCAGTAGAGCTTGCTAACCATAATGAAGTGACCGAAACACTGAACAACCGTTTCGCTAGTCTGCACCAGAAGTCACAGTTTTACTCAGCTCAGCTCAGAGAGAGACAGAGACAGAGAAATCAGTTCAAACGCCTTAAATTCTGGCTGGCTGCCACTTGAAACTTGTCCAGAAAAACCACCAACAAACAGCACGCACAGGAACTCCCGATGAACACTGATCCTCCAACAAAAGCAGAAGTATTGTGTCCCATTAAAGCCAGATGGGAAGGCAACAGGATCACATAGGATTCCTCTGAAAGCGCTGAAAATTCATCCAGAGACTTCAGTGGGTATCCTCACGCAACTACTATAGAAGGTTGGGAAGGAACCTACCGACTAGAAGAAAGTCTACCCTGTCAAACTACCGAAGGGAAGAGACTTAAGCCTCCACGAAAACTGGCGCGTAATCATGCTTCTCTTCACACTAGGCCAAATATTAACTAAGGTCATCCTTGAGAGACTAAAAATACACCCAGATAAAGCGGTGGATTCAGGGAAAGCAAATCACATGCGGATTAAAATTCAACGCTTTGCATCATCATCATCATCATCATCATCGAACAGGGCGTAGAATCAACCTTGAGAAGACATTCTTTGGAGTCGAACGTGAAGTAATTTGGCATGTGTTTCAACACTACGGCGTGCATTGACGCAAATATTTAAGAAGCACACTGAACAGCTAGCTATATTCCATTATGGGTAAATTTTTATTTTGATAGAGTCTCACAGTGTTATACAGTAATATTTACTGATATCAGTAAATATTACTGTATAACACTGTGAGACTCTATCAAAATAAAAATTTACCCATAATGGAATTACACTCTACCACAGTGCCCAAGTTTTATTCTTATATCAGCTAGCTATATGATGATCTCAAGTAATCAACGACGGATAGCTCACCGATGTAAATACAGGAATGAGACAAGCTTACTTTCTATTACCGACGATCTTCCTGATTGTTGAGTGAGAAGACAGGAATACGCTGGACCGACCAAAGGTCCCCAGAAGATCAGGACTTCGCGGGCAGGTTAATGTTTTGTGTCACACAAACTTGAATAAGAAACCAACAAGTTCTCAGAAGAAGAAGAAGAAGTAAAGAAAGGACTTTAAATGAACATAGAGAAGACAGAGCTGATGAAGATAACCTTCCAACAATCATCATCAAAGAGAGAAATTTGGAGGACACTTTCTACACTTTTCTAGCAAGTATCGTCTCAAATACAGACAGAACTGATGAAGATGTCAAAACCAGAATCGGAAAGGCAAGGTAAACCCTTCAACACTCTGAAATCAGTTTAGAAATCTTCTGCACTCCCCACCCAGCATAAACAACAGAACTCGGATTTTCAACACTAAAGTCAAGCCATTTCTTCTATATGGGCGAGAAACTTGGCTGGCACGTCGCGCATTCCTATCAGATTACACACTTTTATCAACAGCTTGCTTCTCCGGTTCCATTCTGAAGACTCGATGGCTGGCTGGAGAGAGAATTAGCAACAAGAAACTGGCTGGGAACAAACCAATCAAGAGCCTATTGCGTAATTAACAAATATCCCGAAGAAAACGGAGATAGATAGGACACCTTCTGAGGAGACCGCTGAGCGACATCGCGCACAAGGCCGTCGACTTAGGCATTTAAGGCTGTGTAAGGAGGAAATGAAAGCGCTGACAGACAACCATGCAGCCAGATAAAAAAAAGACACGAGAGAACAGAGCGAAGTGGCGACTTCTTGCTAAAGCTGCATATTCCACTCGGAACCCATGGGAACAATCAATACAAGGAATGGTCTCTCAGTTTACGATTATTTTCAATGGTAATGCAAGGTTCCCAACTGAAGGTTATTCATTTCACCACTGGAACAGGGATTTAATAGTTTGTAACTGTCAGTTTATTTATTTTTGTAACATATTTAAACTGTTGACTGAGTATTCTAATGATACTATGCATAACTGGTAGTCGGACAATCCCTGAACTATGGATAAAAAATAAATATCCGGTGATCCCTGACTACATAAATACACAATGAAACCAACCGACCAACCCTTCAAAACTTAACAACATTAACATTCATCAAACAAACCGATTTGTTAAAGCGCATTATAGTAAGAAATCAGTATTCATACAAAAATATTTATATTTACAAATAACACTGTCAATCTACTTCACAATTTACAGAACTGTTCCGTGATCGTTTGGATTTTAATTCTTCATTATCACTATTATTATTAAGTGAATTATGAAAGCCATTCATACTCTGCCCGATATCTGATATATCTATGTCAACACTTTGAAGGGCATCACATGCCCATGATGGTGGACGACAACCTTCATATTCAGTTGGATTTTGATCTTCTTTACCCATATAACACCGACGTTGAAAAAATGAACGAACAAATTGTGGAAAAGTGTTTTCACTTATAGCTTCTCTGCACTGTTTCATCAAGCCAAGCATATAAGCTAAATTATGCAAGCTGACAACAGAAGATGCATTGACCTGGCGACCTGATAATGCTGAGTGTATCCATGCTCGAGATAATGGACGCGGATGCCTGGCGCTCTTCACTGGGTCGACTGTCCATTGGATGACAGTCTATGGGAGATGGCTAAACCCTGATTCCAAAACTCCAACGACTGGCGTATGAAGCTCACTGGAGCTCACCATCAGACGTATGGACAAAGGGCTTGTTGGATGTCCTGGATGTCTGGCCCCATTCAAAATGGCGTATGAACCGAACTCCGGTCACCGGCTGCCAATGGATAGTGGACTTCCTACTCCACTCCTACTGCCTTGTAGGTCACACTCGGTTGTGTAAAGGCTGGAGCTGCACTCTCAAACAAAAGGCCGAGCGATTCTGGGGACATCACTCGTACCAAATTCCCATGAAACTTCATGAACTCTCGTGCGTCGTCGTTGCTACAACATCAACCAAATTCCAGTACTGGTCCAACAACGTCACCTTCGGTGGTTTGGCCATGTTCTGCGCCGACCAGATGACGATCTGGTCAAATCAGTTCTAAATCCCTCGCCATTACCATCTTGGAGATGTCGCAGGGGTGGACAGCTGAAAACATGGCTTGGTACAGTCAAGGCTGATATGGAGTGCCTGGGGCTACAAACCGTCTACGGACTCCGTCTGTGGAACAAGAATTGGATAACCCTGTCACAAAACCTTGCATCAGATCGCCGCGCCTGGGCAGCGATGATTCGAGATGTTCATGAAGCCGGCTCATCCTCCCGTAGGAGATATCCGAAATAAAGTAGTAAGTAAGTGTACACGTTGGACAAGGACAATTTTCATCGATAGGACGAAAATCTGAAGCGTATACAGCATGGCGAAGATTCAGCTACAAAGGAAACAATAAGAATGATCCATTAACCATCTGTTGTTGGAAGAAAGTTCAAATGAAAATGCATTTAGCCTGGGGGTTGATCGACCTGTACTCTTGTACAAGCCCCTTTAAAGCTGTCTTGGTTCACACAGTAAGAGCAATTTGCTCGGATGAATGTCTTGATGAGGAACTTAATAATATTAAACGGTTGCTGAGTGAAAATGGTTATCCAGAAAAGTTTATTGATAAGAATATGAATCTAAAATCAAGGCAACCCAAGGTACCAACAGTTTCTAAAAACGTCTTATTCTTACAAATGTAGTTCCTTGGGGATAGCATCAGCGAGATACTAACACAGCGCCTTAGAAATGCGGTGAAGCGAAGAGCATTCCCTGCTGCTGAATTACGCTGTCTTCAAAACCACTCCTCTCTTGCGTTCGGGAGTGAAAGACAAACTACCTAATTTCGCCTCCCACTCCATGTGTATCTACCAGTTTAACTGCTCCTGTGGAGTGAGCCAGTTACTTGCATAGGCTGTACAATTAGGCGTGTTTCGCGTCGAATTTCCAAACATCACCCTGTTAAGTGGTTAAGCAAAGGATAAACAAAATCTATCCGCAGCGCTATTCTATCTCATCTTGTGGATACGGAACACAAGATTGACGTTAACCATGCTTTCAGGGTTATTTACCGCATGCCAACGAACCTCGCGTCGGTGGTGTAGCGGTTAGGACACTCGCTGACGATATACATGGTCCGCGGTTCGATCCCCGGCCCACGCACTCCTTTACCTCGTCAAGCCAGAATTAATTCTGGTGAAGAGGTAAGGTTGGACATGGGGCTAGCAACCCCATCCTGTAAAATAAACACTGATACAGAAACTTCGAGCCACTAGCTTGAAGCCCTATGTTCCACTGGGGAACGTGAAGGATAAAAAAGAAAGAATCTCGGTTTTACCTTAAGAGTTCGATTACTAATTATTGCTGAAGCTGTTGGGATCCATGTTAACAAGCCTAATTTGTGCATCCAAAAGAAGTTAGTTCAGACATTATCCTTACCTTGGCCATCTAGGTTTGAATGATCCTCAGTTTTTTGGAGAAATTTCCTTAATTTTAGTTGATATTGTGTTTGCTACTACATCTTTGTTATTGTGAATTTCTCCCGAAAGAAATCCGAAACGATAATCCAAACTATAGATTTAACCACACGTAGAGTGACGCGTAAAGTCCGAAATACAGGATATTCTGCAATACGGTACTTTATTATATAAAAATAGATATATAATATGCAAACCTCAAAATGTGAGGTGTCTGTGCCTAAATGCCGTCAAATGCACAACCACTGTGCAGTCAATGCTGTGTCAAGCTCGATCCACGTGTCTGTTCAAACGGCCCGCGAATGCCAAGCAAAGAATAAACAAATATGAACAAACAACTTTCAATAGTGAAGCATACACTATAGGGTAAGGTCGGAAAATAATGAATGTTTAAGGAGAAGAAAAATAAGAACTATACATTAACAGAATGAATGATAATAGAACAAGTAATTTAACTGCAGTTGTAAGCAAGTGTCATTGTTATAAATTAACATATGAAAATCATACTACTTACTAATGGCAAGTAGTATGATGTTGAACAAAGGAGAGATTGAGAATGAACAGGTAGGAAAGCAATTAACACCGCCCCCTCAAAACCAGCCTGCTTTTCCCTACTCTACCTGCTAGTAAGACACAGAAATGGTACAATTTACTCTCGCCACATCTGCATCCACTATCCATCTATATATCCTACAAAGTGCTCATCTCTCCTCAATACCTTCTAATAGGCAAACCTTACGCACATCTCGGTTGACTATACCCCTCGGTGTCTTGATATCCACTTTTCTGATATACCCACCCATCACAGCTTGCCGTAACACCTGTAATTATTCCCATTGACCAACGATTGCGAGGTGAAGGCTCCACAGCCACTAGTACTAGGTCTCCCACTTGTGAGTTTCGATGTCGTTGAACCCACTTTTCACGCGATTGTAAGGTCGTCAAGTACTCCCGCTTCCACCGTCTCCAAAACGTATCGGCAAGGAGTTGCCCTTGTTTCCATCGTCGTGAATAACGTCCACATAAACTAACGTCGATTGTGGCTCGTTTCAAAGCATAGGCTGCACAGAAGGGTGATGAGGTAGCACCGAAGGGATGTACGTTTAATTCATACAGGCTCGGTGGTAAGTCCAGTCTACCCTCAGAATACCATAAGAAACTAAAGGCACTTTTATCCTTGACAGGTAAGTGAACCTGAAGAAACATCTCCTCAATATCTGCTGACAAGGCTATCCGATGTTTTCTAAATCTCAATAGTACCCCAGCCAATCATTCATCAGATCCAGTCCTGAATACAGACAATCGTTCAAGAACATTCCCTTACATTTAAAGGCACAATCGAAAACCACTCTAATTTTACCAGGCTTCCGGGGATTCATAACTGGGTGGTGAGAGATAAATCTACGTTTCTTGGAGAAGTCTTCAGGAACGCGACTAATATAACCCTTCAACTCATGGTCTGTTAGTATTTGATTGTAGGACTTTGATAGGCTTTCGTCCTTTTTTAGTTTCTTCTGAAGACTGTCCAGCCTGCGTTCTGCCTCAAACCTATTAGCCGGTAATCTACGCCAGTCTTCTTTCCAAGTCAATGAAACTTCATAATGTCCGTTCCATAATCTTATCTCCCTATCGGTTGCCTTCAGAACTTCTTTATCTATTTCAGAACTGGACCTTTCGTATGAGTGCTTGTCCTGAAATTCAGCTTCAATCATTCGCAAAGGCTTCTTCTCTACTGATTCACTTTCCTCTAAGCAGAAGATAGAGGTTGCTTCTTTATATTCGTTTCCTGAACCCAATAAATACCAACCAAAAACTGACAAGGATGCAAACGGTTGGTTGGATTTCCCTATACGCTGCTCCAGCACCCAGTGTGCTTCAGGTACATTAGTCCCAATTGGTAGACTGACCTGTTTACATTCGACGTCTAGAAAGGGAATTTCTGCCAGGTGAGGCCATTTTTTCATCTGTTCGTTTGAAGGAGTCTCAGGTCTCTTTACAGGTAAGCTTTCCACGGTGTAGGCACTCTTGACCCTCGTCTTGTAATCTCCCGTTAAGGATTCAACTTCGAAATCAACCTTAGATGAATTCTGAGAAGTAGTTCCACAGAAAGATGTTACCTGCATCAATGTATTAACCCCTTCCAGTCCTATTTGGCGGGCAACATGACTCAGCAGTAGCAGTAGTGTAGCATCTGAACCATTGTCAAGAAAGGCATAGGTATCTAGAAATCCTTTAGGACCTAAGATACGAATCGGCACATATCCTAAAAAGGAAGTTCCGGATTCCGTGCTAGAGTAGTTGACAGTCTGGCATGCTGAATTATCTTCATTGTGTAGGTGATGTGTGTGATGACGTCTAGTGCATCCCACTATATCGCAACCTCTTGCTGCACGACAAGTGTCAGCTCGGTGATTACGTTTCAAACAGTTGAAGCACACCTTGTGCCGCATTGACACTGCTAGTCTCTCTTTGTGACTGACTCATCGACAAAAAGCGTTGACATTCCCATAAGTCGTGATCTGTGAAGCAAACTATGCACGAATTCTGGGCTCGTGACTTCACGACATACATTAACACTGTGCGAAGGCATGGCTCTGGACATTTTATCACTGGACCCTACTTCTTTGTTGTTGTTCCTATTCCCATTAGCTATCTGGCCGTAACAGCTTGTAGCCAATGACAGTTGCCTTTCGAGGAATTCTTTGAGGTGACGAAAGCTAGGTTCAGCAAACTGTAAACCATCGTTTACCAATTCTGACCACTTCGATCGTAGGTGCCGGGGGAGACGTTGAACAATGCACTTAAGGTTGGTGGTGTAGCAGTCCAAGTCTGCCATGTGATTCATCTGAGATAAGGCTATCTCACAATTGGTCATCTGTCTCAACAACCGTTGTAGCCCAACTATATCTTCAGGTTGCAGCTGTGGGCCTGACAGTAATTCGGAGACGAAGACATCCGAAACTGCATGAGGTTGGCCAAATTGACTTCATAAAATCCCCATGGCTGGCTTTCCTAAAGCCTACCTCAGAGGGCAGTAGAACGCAATGCTCTAAGGCCTCCTTGTCTGTACCAACACAATTGTGTATAAGATGCATTAAACGTAGGTTGTCATCATTAGTTTGTTCTCCTATGAACATGTTAAAGCATCTTATAAACTTCAGGAACTTAGTTGGTGTACCATCGAACTTATCCATCTCAATTTGAGGCATTCTAATGGGGCTAACTGAGTTCAGGAGTGGATGGAAATCTGTCCGATCTGTTGAAGCAGTTTCTTAGGCGAAATGTTCCTGTCACCGATTGCGTGTTGGGAGTTAGCGATGAAGCTCTTGGCAAGAGTATACTGTAAGTCTCGAATCAGATATCTGTTATCAGTTGTATGCTGAGTAACGGAGACTGCATAACTAACCATTTTAAACTTGCTGGGTGCTAGGTTGCTACACATTGTGTTCTGCTCACTGTCAACACGTGTAAATGTTTACTTTATGATTACCTGTATTAAATTAATTGCAATTATATTGGTTCCTAATGATTCAAGCTAAGAATTCCCTTTATGTGCAGAAATATTTATTCAGGTGTCACTTGTCACTGGTTAAGTTTGGATTGGCAGGTAAAGATTCTGATTAATGTGAGGTAACATATGGACTTTGTCAGAACATAAGAATTTAGCTAAGGTAAGAATGGTTGACCCCGAGAAGATAAGTAATTTAGAAAAAAGCTCGGCAATTGCAATGCATGCATTAACACACAACTACACAATAGGGTGGGAGAGGGTTAAAATTCTAAAAAGTAATCTAGGTAGGTGGAGAGAGAGGTTGATTACTGAATCCCGCCTTGTTCATCGAATCTACACCCAACACATGCAATAGGAATGAATCATCACTCATACCCGAGACATGGAAAATATTACTACCAATCAAATCAAGTGAAAATCAAGTGAAAAACAATGGAACTATATAAATGAATTTAGGAAGTCGTGTGATTAACTTGATATGATTATGAGCGATAAATTGTGCTCGAAACGTCATCAGTAAATATTACTGTATAACACTGTGAGACTCTATCAAAATAAAATTTACCCATAATGGACTTTATGAACTTGACCATTAAAGTGTAAAATCGTTTTTACATATTTCATTAGCTTTCGGACCTGATATAGAGAAATTTTGTTGGCTTGTTAATCTATTATTAGACGGCAAATTGTATGAGTCAAGTCTTTAGCAGGAAGATGAAAAGTCCTAGAGTATGCATTGATTTGGTTAAACTAGGCATATTATACCCCTCCGTTTTTATGAAATTCAGCAACTGATCTTGCGTTGCTTGCTAGATGTTCACGTGGGATAAATGATAGAGATTCGGTTGTAGCATATTTAATGTAACTGAATTTGGCATCAAAAGCGAATATAAACTATATGTAACTTTTTACAAACACGCTTTGCAGTATTCGGCTCCAACTTATAAAATTATTGTGTATAAATTCCATTGTAAAATGGGAATGCGTTTCACCTGCTATATATGCTTGATATGCCACACTTCTACCAGTGGTCTTCCTTATTGTTTGGTGGTATGATTTAAACTATTTTAGTAATTATGTCAGCTGGTCTTATTGTATTTTAGTCACTTGTATGTTGCATACTATAAACACGTTTTCGACATGGTTACTTGTGTCTTATCGAATTTTCACTGTCACTTAACTAAGTAGTAAATCTCAAAATCCAACTAATATTTTCACTAGTCTTAGCAGGTGTACTGTCTCCATCGTGTTTGTTGCTTACCCCGAATTATGAGTGGTAGTTTTTTTCTGTAGTAATCAGTAATTCTTTTTTTGCAGTCATTTATACCATTACTTTACATCTTCAAAGGGCTTGCAATTTTGGATTCGAGTGTATTTGGCTTGGGTCTGTTCGTGAGGTACTTCGTGTCATAAGACAAAATTTCACCCGTTTGACACGTTCATTAGTAACCCAACCTGGCGCTGCTTTCTTTTTATCGTCGAACAATGGAAAATCGAAACCCTCAACTAGTGCAGATGAAATAGCTCCTGGCAAAATAGCTGAATCGCGCGCACGAGTGGTTGTCGGTCTTGCACGTGCTCGTTTGCAACTGGGAATTGGACAACATTTAGCTGATACTGGGATTGTAAAGGTGTTGACATTGATCGACGAATTGGATACTCACCTAACACAATCAGCTTCTCGATTAAGAGCCTGTTATAGTGTACACTTCCCAGAGGTGTGTCGTCCTCATTTTGGAAAACAACTATGTTTAGATGATATGAAACTTCTTCAGTTGATAGCCAACCATCCACTTCGTTGCAATATAATTTCAAATCTTTCTTCGGGGAGTTTTACATGCCCTAATGATGATCAACTAGCTTCTGTTGTTGCGGCGGCTGCTCAGGATTCTATTGGAGCCGACTTAGGTGAAGAAGATTGTGAAAATCTCCAGAAGTATGCACAACGTCTTCTGCAAATGAATCAGGTATGAGTCTTTGCCTACTTATGTAGTATTTTGCCATTGTGCTGAACATTAAGAAATAGAGCACACAGACTATACTATGTGTGAAGTGCGAGCACTTCCCTGGTCTATAGGAAGTAGGTCAATGCAATTGAATATGTTATGATCCTAAGTTTTTGGTTTCAGGTGGTAAGTTAATTCGTCTGGCCATGAGCCTAAAAACTGTGCTTATTGAAACTCAACGCAACTCTAGTCTCCAAAAGTAATGTAATTGTAGACTAAGCGTGCTGTGTCACTGGACCGCTTATTTAAGTACTAACTACGACCAAATGATTGTTGATTTCTGTCAGCGTTAAGAACTTGGCAGTGAATAAACCTCAATTAGTTTACTTCAAATGCTCGCATACATTTCTCTTTACTGCGTATTTTTATTCTCTTTAGACTTGTTAATTAGCATATGAAAAGGTTTTTACGCTCTTTGTAGTAGTTAATGTAGAATCACTATTTGCTTTTCTGTTTGCCAGTTGATTTTGTATTTTCTAGTGCAAATCATATAGTTAAGTATTTCTGTGCCTCACATATTGTCATCCAGTTGTGAAAAAGGACCGCCTGGATGAGATGCATCGAATAAACAAAGTATACCACAGCTGCTGCAAGTTTATCTGTTATGCACCAGTACTCCCGAGAGCTTAAAATTCAACTGGACTTTCTAGATTTCAAAACTTGGCTTACTTTTTGCGTGCTACAAATGTGGTAGGATAAGAGTAGACAGGATTCAACTTCGCTGCTAATTTTATTATTGTTGATAGCAGATTCACAGATGATATCTAATAAACCCTATGTTTCTCAAAAGTAGCATCACTACATTTTACATCGATTGAGATGGTTAGGACATGTGTTACGTATGCCTAGCCATCCATCGCCTTCCTCAACGGTCAATGCTAGCTGACATAGGGTCAGGTTGGAAAAGAGCCAGTGGTGGTCGAAACAGAACATAGCCTCATCAGTCAGCCAAATCCACTACAGTTAGTTTAAGCCAGCCAGCCACGTAGGGAGGTGTAGACTTCCTGACTGGTTGGGGTCCTCGGGATGGTAAAAACCAGTGGAGGCTGGAGACAATTGGTGATATGACTGAAAATCGTTCTCACTGGCTCAGATCCATTCACTCTTCGTGATTTATCGTATCCAATGAAACTGTTGTGCCTCCATATTACTATTCTTTTTGCCTCATATCTCACACTCTTGGTTTGTGTGCTACATGAAGTATGGCAACTCGAACTGTTGCACATCAGTGCAAATTTCTACGTTGAAACCAGTCAGTCAGTCATTCGCAGTAATTTAGTTGGTGTACTTCGAGTAGGAACGAGGTGTAGATTATTAAAAATAATGAATGTATGTAAAAGCAAGTCTTGAAGTCAATTGCCAAGTTTTGTTTTTACTATCTACTTTCGAAAGCCAAATCGGAAGTCAGTTCCCTAACTTACTGACACACAGTGCTTAACATAAACCACCGTGACAATTTCAGGTGCAGTTAATGAAGGATCATGTTGGAGTTACACCCATCTGTACTATTCCTCAATTTTCGCGTTGTGATCCTGATATATAAGTGCATTTCAGGTTTCACATTGGCAGGGAAATTAACTTGAAATATATATTGCTTGTATGTTCAAATTGACCACGCCCAAAAGTCTACTAGATTGACCAGGTTTTGATGGTAAATTGATTGAGATGGCCAGGAGACGTATTGCGAAGACCGAGCCGTTGCCTTCCTGAACGAAAAATATTACTACCTGACGTAGTATTAAGTTTGGAAAAAGTTAGGTGTTATTAAACCAAAACGTGTCCTCAGTCAATGAGACCTTTGACTATTGGCTTGAGCCACACAGAAAGGTGTAGACTGCCTGGTTGAGGTGGTTGTGGTCTTCGGCATGCCAAGAACTAGTGGCTTGAAACTGTCAGTGCGTCGGTGGCACAGTGGTTAGGACTCTCGCCGACCATGCACATGGTCCGGGGTTCGATCCCCTGCCGGCGCACACCCGATATCTATGGTATGCCTGAATTTGGGCAACCGATATCTATGCTGAAAATTACATACTTGTACTGAAAATACGGTGTGGAATCAAGCTGTAAATCAAAATCAAAAAAAAAAGAATCGAAATTGTTCTCAGTGGCAAATATGCATTCGCTCCCTGTGATCCCCCATATGCATTAGACCTCCATGTGACTATTCTTTCTCCCGCACATTTTTGTGTATAATAGCACTTTTGAATCCCTTTTCTGTTGACCTTTATGTGAACTACTGTACTTCTGTGTTGAAACTCAGTCAAATTTCGGATAGCCGTATCTTGCTTAAGAGTAATTATTTGTTTATCATGTCACTGTACACACAGTAACGTAAATTTCCTGCACTGAGTGATTTCTGTGGCAATATTCAATTGTGATACTTGCTTGATTCAAATGCACTTCACAATAAAAGCCTGTTAATCCCGAACAGTAGTGAAGGTTTAATTTCTGATGAAAGTAGAGCTAAGAAACCGACCCAGTCAGAAATTTTGAAATGTATTGGCATCTCTAGCTGTCTAGTCTATCGAATAATGGCTTCTACTTGTTTATTTTGTGTCAAGTTCATAATTTTTCCAGCTGCGTGAAACTCGTAAGACAAACGTCAAAAGTGAGTGCATAGCCCAACAGTACTAAATGAAGTTGTAAGGTTATCGTCTTTGGCTATCAACGTCCTCTTCTTTTTTTACCTTTATTGATGGGGTTAGATGCTGTTGGTAATTCCCTTCGAATTTCCCATACACTTTATGTTTCCTTTTTAGATAAAACAGCGTCATATAGATTCCTTATTACGACGCATAACTAATTTATGCCCTAATTTGCATGCGCTTCTTCATCGTGCACTTCATCCTTTTGATGATCAAAAAGACGAGACGAACAATTCTAAAAGTGACGATCAACTATCAGCTTGTTTAGTTGCTGCACGTTTAATAGCCAATGCTGGATCTTTTAATCGACTTGCTTCTATGCCATCTACGCGTATTTTGTCGTTGGGGGCATCCAAAGCGCTATTCAGGTTAGTTACACTGTTATGCTCTTTGTCTTATATACACTGAACAAACAAGAGTGCAGGACTCAATTTTTTAATAGCACTTAAAAAAGTGGATAAAATTACATGTAATACAAAGTGCTTAAATGATTAGTCCTTAGCTTTTCCTAATATTGATACAACAAATGCATTTCAGGGACCGAGTGATTCTGTTGCTAGACTACGTATTGTGATGATAATAATAATTTGCTTTATTCTAAAACAGTACTTGTGATACAGAGTGGAATTCTCAGCATTTTTACTACAGTATTGCATCCAGTTTGTACAATAACAATAAATAAAATTCTGCATAGATTAAGGAAATCTCAGTTCATTATCACAACAACAACACATTGGCATGTCAGTAGCAGAGGTAAAGCTGAACAGTGTTTGAAGGTGCTGGAAAAGTGGGAGCTGTCATATTTACTGGCGTAAGCGAGAGAAAGAAACAAAGCAGCACGTAACGGAAAAAAGAGAGACAAGGAAAAGAAAGAAAGAAAACGCTGTACCTATAAATGATATGAGTTGGAAAGACGAGATCCAGTTGTTCTACTGACTATTTAATGAATTATAGGTGTCACGCTAATGCTTTCTTTATCGCACAGAACACGAGCTAAGTAGGATATTGTTGAGTTTTCGTACTTGCTAGTGCGACCATATAGTTTTCTATATAGGCTTCTGGTTTGCCTGATGAGATGCAAGAGGAGAGTTAGATAGAATGGATTTAGCCCATTTTTCACATGAGTCCAAGTGCCTGTCGACCAGAATATTAACAAGCTGGTTAAGTGGCACGTTGCTTACCCTGCTGACAACCTTTAACACCCTACGTAATAAGACATAGTCCTTCTTCATTAGCCCCTCCTGGAAAAACTGAGGGGGAACAATACAGAATAATACGCAGGATGCAAGAGTCAACGAATCGTAAGAGTAAGGGTTGGGTTATTCCAGAATGTCTAAACTTCTTGATGTAGAAGGTAAGACGGAATATTTTCTTAGAAATCATCAAGATATGAGACGACCAGGAAGGATCTGCGGATAGAATGACGCCTAGGTATTTAATTTCCGACTTGGTCTCTATTTCAGTGCCATCTCTGTTGCACACCTCGTGAGAGCTAACCAGTTTGTTTAGGTCGGATTTATGCCTAAAGGTGAAATTGACTGTTTGGCATTTGGAGGGGTTTAAGGTAAGACCGTTATCCTTGGACCACTGGCTGATTTCTGAAAGAAAGCCATTAAGTTTAGAGCAGTCACTTTGACATGAGAACTGTCTGCTAGCCAAAATTGGCAGACAGCAAATTTACGTCAATGTTTACTTCCCAAATCTTGGTCATAAGAAAAAAACAAGAACAAAGACTGCGTGGGTGGATGCGATTCGCAGATATATGGTCTGACCTTCAAAGGAACGGTCACAAAGAGATGACAGATTAACTTACAGCGAGAAAACAACCAATCAGAAGACGCTGTTTCTCTGCTAACAATAACGAATAAATATCTTTTGATTTCCTCAATAAACAATCTGTTGCCTGGCCCTTGTCTTCTGTCGTTACAGTATCACTCATTCTGTTGAAATTCACTATTTACCAGAATCACAGTGCCAACAGGGGAGGAATGCACAAGCATTTGCCTGGTGGCCAATTGACTCATCGAGCTGTTCAATCGAATGTGACTACAGGTTTAATTGATCATCAAGATTCAAATGACTGTGGAAGTTGTTTCGTAATAATCTTTTGTTTAAACTTATAGAAAAGGCGGAGCTGTCGTAGCAACATCTACTGGTCTATTATCGAATGCAAGTAAATCACTAGCCGATCCAAATTCACCGTCTGTGGATAATTCACAAGTGGTGGGCAATAATTTGTCTGCAGCTCAGTTGAAACTTTTGAGTGCTAATCGTGTGCAACGGGATACAGTTCGTCGTCGAGCTGCACGTCTTCTCGCCGCAAAGTCAACTCTTGCCTGTCGTGCAGACTGTTTTCGTCAACACAATCCAGTGTTAAAACAATCGGATTCTGATTCAGCAAACCCGAGTACTTCTGTGATAGAAGATGAACGACTCAAAACCGGGGCTTATGGCGATCACCTTGGGAAGACTGTTCAAGATCACTTGAGAATATGGGCCGAGACCAATGGCATACACAAAGATCGAACTGAAGAACAAAACAAGGTATATTAAAGTGTTTATGAATTGTTGTTAGTACAACAAGTTTTGAAAAAATTTAAACATTAAAAATTGATCATTTGTTTTTTTGTTGTAATTTCTAGGCACAGCGTGAAAGAAGGAAAAGGTATCGAAAGCTTAAACATAAAGCTTGGCTTGCTCGAAAACTTTCTAAATGCTCAACAGCAAAGTGCAACGATGCAACCAATAGAATTGAATCTATGGACGTTGATATAGATAGTACTGCTACTACTACATCTGTCAATGTAGTTCAAGTCGTGGACACAAGTACAAAAACATCAGAAAACAAAGACCACAGTGAGTCTTCGGATAGTGATTGGCCAATGAAAGAGAGTGATTGTTTAGAGTCGTCAAGCAGAGCACCACCTCGTTCCCCTCAGAAAAGAAAATCGGTGCGTAGAACTATGCAACCGATGATACCTACTCAATGCTGATACAGTTATTACACTTTATTGTAAATATCTTGAATAAAATTCCAGACAATCTTAGCTTTATGGTGTTTAGTTGTTATGGAGTATACACCAGTAATAATATTAAAAGTAATAATTTAGTAGATGTTTATGAAGTATGTTTATCTTATTATAAATGGATAAAAGAAGCTTATTTACTTTGAGGCGCAACGCTTATCTAAATACATGTATCCACTCGTTTACTCTCTTTGTAGTCTTACAGCTTTGATATGGACAGTGTGGTAGTTCTACTTCACTGTATGTGTTCTAATTGCATAAAGCGGTTTAGATTGTAATCCAGTAAATATACTATGCGTCCCATGTATCGTATGTCTTGGTAACTGGCATATCCGTCTGGCTATCGACCAAAGGATGTGTGTACTGCTCAACAGCAGCAGTTCGTTCCGTCCTGCTCTATGGCTGGCTGTGAGTGAGACAAGACCATTGAAAGTGAAAGACATGAAAAGCCTGGCTAGTTGTCTTTGATCATAAGTGCCTGCAATCTATCTCATGTGTCATGTAGTATAATAGGATTAGCAATATTGAGGTAAAGCGTCCAGTTTTTGGTAGGTGGGAGGAGAAATCAATAGACGAGACTGTGAAGTTACATTGATTGAGATGGTTAGGACATGTGTTACGTATGCCTAGCCATCCATCGACTTCCTCGACGGTCACTGCTAGCTGACATAGGGTCAGGTTGGAAAAGATTTGGCCAGTGGTGGTCAAACCAAAACATCACCTCATCAGTCAATGAAATCCACAACAGTTAGTTTAAGCCAGCCAGCCACATAGGGAGGTGTAGACTTCCTGACTGGTTGGGGTCCTCGGGACGGTAAAACCAATGGAGGCTGGAGCCAATTGGTGATATAGCTCAAAATCGTTCTCAGTGATGGCGCAGATGCATCCACTCCTTGTGACTTATAATACCCAATGAAACTATATTGTTCTTCGATATTACTATTCCTTTTGTCTCATATTCCTGTTTATTGTCTCTGTTTTGCATTTCTTCTCTTGCTTTGTGTGTTACATGGAGTGGGACGACTTGAACTGCTGCATATCGGTGCAAAGTTCTATGTCGAAAACAGACAGACAGACAGACGCCTTAGTAACAGACAGTTTGCGAAATCGCCCACAATGATATCTGAAGACGTAAAACGTTTTATACGGTACACAGCTCTTGTAACTATTTATTGGTCATAAGAACTTTTAGTAGTTTATAGTGTGAGCCAACAGCGGAGCACAGGTTTCCATATAAAGTAGTAGGCTACAGGATAATAATCTTTTACTGACTTCTACATAATTCAGGACACGGTCAAAGTTAACACAGGCTGAGAATCAAATAACTATTGTCTTAAGTGTATTGACTTTTATTGTCTTATACAAGTGAACATGGTAAATCCCGGACTAGGATTTTACTGACTGCGTTCACAAAACAACAATCCTTCGGTAGTTGTTCAAGTTGTTGTAACAGTAGCCTTGTCCTTCTTAGATAACATTTGTGGCCGAGAAAGCAGTGACTATCTGTGTAGCACTTGTCTTAGCCATCTAACTATTTGATTCTTCTTGTCTAACGTAATTACTACTGATGATGAGTGCCAGCTAGCACGAAACCTGGGTTGAGCAAGGCTTCCTGCCGATTGCCTCCAACCATTTAATACTACTAACCATACTGTGCTGTCTTACGTGAACAATGGAATGAAGGCACCTACAATTCCGAACCGCTAATTTTCTCATGAATCAGGCAGGGTAGAGTGATCGGCTGCACAATATCCACGTACTTTATTGTGTAGCCATAATATCACACTTGCGTCAATTATGACGCAGGTTGGCATATACCGAATGAGCCTCTTGTATCCGTGCTGCTACTCTCTCGGCAATCAGTCGTTTGTGGCCAATGTAACTCTCCAAAATAAACAAAGTTGTCGAAATGCTCAATTACACTCCCCTACCTATCTATAAATTCGGAGTCAGCACTGACTAGTCATGCAGCATTATTTTACATTTGGCAAGGGCAAAGCGCATGGCAAATATGCTAATATTTCTCCATAAGTGCTGTAGATCATTGATACCTCCTTATAAATAAGTGAATCCTTAGGACATCAAAGTTGACTACGATCACAGACATCAATACATTCAAGATGAATTTGATCAAGTGTGCTGATTGAGTATCCACCGGCTGTGTTCACTTCAGACGGCAACTCTTCAAACTCTCTTAAGCGGGTTAATGTTTTGATTAGCATAATAAGCATTCTCGGTACTTTCCCTTCCATCAGACATTCCCACTGCACCTCTGTTTACGAAGTCAAAAGTAACTTCAGGTTACGAAATAGGTTAAGTGTTGGTAAGTTTAGCTGTGTAACAACTTGGTCAAGGTTGGGAATTTGTTAACGTTGCCTTCATCTGAACATGAAACTTCTGATTTTCCAGACCCCATTTAGTTTCTACAGGACTACATTACCTGTAGGCTTAGATACAGTACTTGTCGAGCTGGTCTTCCTGAATATCAGAGGAAAATATGCATCCTTTCCAATGAACTAAGGTAATCAACGACCGATAACAACCTGGTAGGACCATCTCGGAACTCTACTAAGTGCTGCTTCGCTTCGTTTTAGGCCAGAGAGCTTCCTCAGCCTCGACTACAGTTGGAGGACCGATGTCTACATCCTACTCCTACCGGGCTGGGATGCATGTAGGACTAAGGTTTAAGGAAGTGGAAAAGGTATAGTATTGTCAGTTGGACAAAAGGAGGGCAATGAAGGTGAGTGGCGTGCACTTACGAAAGAGTGCAGTTGGTTGCTCACATTGTGTAAGTCGACTTCTTGCAATACACTTTCATGTGATGACGATAATATGGACTGTTTTTAGTCAAGATTCTCCACGCAGTTAACCAACCTCACGCGGTCGGATAAGTCGTGAAGTACGAGTTTCAGGGTCGACATTTCCACCGCTGAAGAGGAAAAGCAGCAATATTTGCTTGTTGGTCAGCAGAGAGAAACAATTTAGTGCTGCTGCTTTCCTGCCGCTAGCGTCATTTGTCGCCCTCAAACCCTCACTATGATGTAAGAAACCTACACCATGAAAGCAAGAGCTTCCCGTCTAACTGCTATTCAGAGACCCATTCGGGATGGTCAGCACGGATCCAAAAAGCTCGAGCTGCGGCTTTCGCTAACTTACACCATCTCTGGTGTAGGCGTGACATCCGGCTATCAACCAAGGGACGTCTGTACTGCTCACCAGTTCGCCCCGTCCTTCTCTATGGCTCTGAAACATGGCCAATACGAGTTGAAGACATGAAAAGGTTGACTGTTTTTGATCATAGATGTCTACGATCTCTTTCTCACGTTAGGTGGTATAATAAGGTAAGTAATGTTTACGTTAGGCGTAGAGTGTTGGGCAAAGAGGGAAAATCAATCGACGAGGCTATAAAGTTACATAGACTGAGATGTCTAGGTCAGGTGCTGCGCATGCCTAACCATCGCCTCGTCCAACAGGCATTACTAGCTGATATAAGTGCAGGTTGGAAAAGAGTAAGCGGTGGCCAAACAAAAACATGGCCTCATCAATCCATGAAATTCTTGACAGTTAAACTGAGTCAGGTAGGGAGATGCAGACTTCCGGGTTGGGGCCCTCAGGACTCATTGAAGAAAACCTTCTTTGCAGCTGAATTACGACTAACGTTCTCCACGAGACCAATGATTCGTATGAACGTGAAGGATAAGCTACCGCCGTTGGCCTCGTCTAGGTGTATCTACCAATTCACCTGCTCGTGTGGAGCCAGGTATATCGGCCGTACTCAGCGTTCGCTATCCAAACGCGTCAACGAACATTTACCTTCATGGTTTTATAAAGGAGAAAACCGATGCCCCCAAAGCTCGATCCTTCAACATTTGATCGACTCTGGACACCAAGTCAAACCAGAAATAAACTTCAAAGTTATCTACAGAATACAAGGCAATCTAGCTAAAAGTGTACGCATCAAACTTCTCCACATCGCAGAAGCAACGGTAGGCAATTCATCTGCTAAATCCTGAACTCAGCATACAAAAGAAATTCGTTCATTCATTAAATCTACAATGAACGTAATCTTTCTTGATTTCAGTCTTACTAATTGTATTATTTTGTCTTGTGCATTTTATTATTTCACATCTTCATTTATATTATTCTCTACCACACCCTTTTGTAATCTCTACCCTCATTAACAATGTTACTAACTTGACCCACGTCCAATTTCTAGTCAACTATGTTACGTCATCCGATTAACTTAATTATTTTCAACTGTATTATTCTCTACCCCCACCCTTATTTAATTTTAACCATCACTCATTAACACTGTTGCCAACCTGACCTACTCTGAATTCTACTCAACTGTATTACGTCATCCAATTCACTTAATCAATTCTATTTGATTTTCTATCTTAACGTTTGTCTCCAAGCCAAATAATACTTATATTACATAATTATCTAAACTTTATAAATCTAATGTACACACACACAAACAAGATTGTATATATATGCGATTGTACAGCTCAGTGAATGAATTCGCCGAAAAGAGTCTCTTCGCTGAACGCCTTCTTTTCTTTTATATGACTCTAGGAATCAATGGCTGGAGACAATAGGTGACATGGCTCAAAATCCTTGTCAATGGCTTACGCAGATGTATTCAGTCTCTGTAATCTTTCATATTCCTTTCTACCATTACTCATTCTCTTTCACTCTTATACTTGTCAGAGCTCTATTGATTCTCTTCACTCATCCATCTTCTTGTCTACCTTTGTGCGCTGTTTGGAACGTGGCAACTCGAACTGCTGCATTCGGTGCCAAGTTCTATGTTAGATCCAGACAGACAGACAGACATTTGGGATGGTAGCATCTCTGTGGAGACATTAGTTTCAGCTCGTTGAGTTGCAGCCACGTCATGGCAGCAACCATCGGTCAAAGCCTGCCTGAGTACTAGCTTGTTTGTTTGTAATGTCTATGCCAGATTC